TATCATCCCACATGGCATCTGCCATAGAATTTCTCCAAGCTCCTACAGCTGCTCGTTGAGTATGTATCTCGTCTTCTTTATCGGAGTCATCGTCTGCATCAGCAACATTTCGTGGAGCTTCTAGTGGAGGATCATAAATGTCGAAGTTCAAATCTCATAACATCATAAAGAAAAAAAATAAGCATTTTTCAGTCATTAACCCTTTGGACCAATCTCATCATGATCGCTAAAACCAAATCAGCAAATAAATGAAATGTACACAAGAATCATCCATGGCCGCTAAAACTTGGTGGCTCGGCCACCGAGCCACCTTGGTGGCTCGGTGAGCCGACCTCCAGGTGTTTGTCGTTTTGCCTCTTTGTGCCCGTTTTCCGGTTTTGTAGTTGATAGGTTCGGATTCGATTTGCTGATCTGATTTGGCAGTAAATCCGGATCCCGATTAGGCAGTAAATCCGCTTCTGAGTTGGAGTCCGAAACCGATCTTGATTCGATCGTCATTCGTCCGAGTTTGTCCTTGGTTGGATCACTCGTTGACTCTTTAACACTTGGCTTGATTCCAAATGCGAACGGATGTATTCCGTTGCTTGCGTGCGATTCGTCGATCTCGTCGCCTCGGCTTCTGAGTTCGAGTTCGAAACTGATCTTGATTCGATCGTGATTCGTCCGAGTTTGTCCTTGGTTGGATCACTCGTTGACTCTTTAACACTTGGCTTGATTCCAAATGCGAACGGATGTATTCCGTTGCTTGCGTGCGATTCGTCGATCTCGTCGCCTCGTTGGTTCGTCGGTTTGTGCCGAGCTGTGCTAAGGGACCTATAAGCAATTTTATATGCCTACAATATAGGTAGTATAAATTGTGGGATAATTATGACCAATTATCCCAATTCTAATTCTAGTAGAATTCTACTTGACTAACGCACCAAAAAAATAATACAGTTCTAGTTCTACAAAAATTCTACTTGACTAACACTATAAAAAAATATCTCATTTCCTAGTTCTATGTGACTAACACCTTAAAAATTTATCCCACAAATTATCTCAGTTCTAGTTTTAAGTTCTAGATAACTAACCCCTTGTGAAATCCTCTTTTTTGGGTGGGATGTGGGGTGGATTTCAAAAGTGTTAGACAAGTTAATGATTTCAAATTCGAAAAAATTTGAAATAAACAGAAATATTACAAATTATAGTATTCCAAATCCCAAAATATTGTTAAAACAAACAAAATTTTAGGAATCCCAACCCATAACAAATTACCTATGGATTTCAAATCCTATTGTGAAATCCATATTCTAAAAGTATAGGATTTGAAACAAACATCCCCTTAATAAAGAGAGTATGATTTAACTAAATGGGTGGGGTGGGTGAGTCATTTAGTGGGTGAGTATGGATGGGCATGGATGGCATAGGATGAGTTTTGGGGCATGTAACCAAACCCACTGAGACCTGGGCTGGCCTACCTCTAATCATCGAGCCCCTACTCTACTCCCGAACTTGACTGGAAATTCTCTCCGCTCGTCTTCCCTGACCCCCCCCCCCCCCCTCCTCCTCTCTCTGCTCTCTTGATCTCCTCGACAACGAAGCAGCACTCAAATGGCCTCATCATCTTCCTCCTCCTCCGCTCCCAAGAGATCTTACGCTACGAAAGGACCGATCCGAAACCAACAGCGATACGTTCCCAAAACCCCCACCGCCACGGCCGCTACGAGCAGCAGCAACAACAGTGCCCCCGGCGCCAGCACCAAACCTACCCCTTCCCTTACGACTTCTCTAAGAGGGGAATCATCGCCACCTTCTTCTTCGTCTTCGAAGGAGAGGAGACCCCTCAGTGGCAGTTTCGTGAATTACTTGCCTCAAGATGAGGCCGTGGCCTCGGGCCTCGGCGCCGACGCCGGGGGCTTGGACGCGATTGAATCGCAGCGAGTTGTTGATATGTTGAATGAGCAGCTGTCCAAGTTGTTGAAGATGAGCCCTAGGGATTTCTGGAGAGAAGGTTAGATCGCTAAGCCCTAGTAATTTTGTGGAGTTTGGAACCACATGAAAACGACGCGGACTTTCAATTTCTCTTAGTATGTGTAAGAAATTAGATCGCCTAAACCCTAATTCTTGTTATGTCTTTGTAATGCCGGATTTATTTATTTATTTATTTTTGCGTATATTGTAACATACTATTGAATCTAAATTGGATATTGGCTGAAATTAGAGTTGATTCTTCTACAGGCTAAATTATGGGCATCTTTTTAGTTTTGTTTTTGGAGTTAGCAATTGTACAAGTGAACAAATGTAAGCTTATTGTATAAGATGAACAGATGAGCTACTAACTATGAGCTACAGGGCCTTTTTTGTGAAACCTAAGGGGTTCTTTTCTCTACTTGGATCCCTAATTCTAGGAAAAAGAGAATATAGTTAGATGTAGTATTTGTTTATTTAAAAGAGCTGTAATTTGATATATATATTTTTAGATTTTCATGTGTTCACGGCCCAATATACCTTTTTCCAGTGGCCAAGAATGAATCATTGCACGAGTTTCTCGACAGCTATCTACAGTATAGACATAGGTGGTATGATTTTCCTCACCGTGGGGCGAAGGGAATTGTTGCTGGAGTTATTGTGGGAGAGGCTGAGCTCTGCCGCAGGGTCTTTATGATCCTCTATCGCATGTAGGGGTTCTTTAGTTTCTCATCGACTCAATATTTTTTCCTGAGGTTTTTTAGTGAACCGTTGAACTGTCTTCTGCAGGTCTTCAAACAGAGACCCTGGTGCAAATGCCAGTGACTGCCTCAGCTTGAGAGAACACACAGGTATCTGCCTTTTGTTACTTGTTATAGTAGTATTTTGGGGTTGCCTGAAATTCACAGTAGGATAGATCATAAAAGTGAAAGTATACTCATATCAGAGTTTCTTATTTCTATCATATGTAGCTTTGTTGCAGGAAAGGAAGTTGTTGGACCTTCCAAAATTGCTGGATATATGTGCCATATATGGCCACGACAATGGGGAGCTTGCTAAGTCATTGGTAGGTTGCAAATTAGATTGATGGGTAACTCAGTGTGTTCATTTTTATTTCTATGGCTCCCATAAAGAAAAGTATGTATTTTGTTTTCCAACTTGTCATAACTAGCTAGTCCTTAGTTTTCGACACGATCTCTCAATTTTCAGTATCTTTTTAATGTATTTTTGATTCTTTCGTTTAATACACATCTAGAAACCTTAGATAATTTCAATGATTTTGTTCTTAATTGAGTCGAAATAGAGGATAAATAACATTAGGTAAAAAATAGTAGCATATTGTGAGAATTATAAATAATTAACTATTTGTTCTTGAGTTTACCATTCATCCATTAAATGTTCACTTCTAAGTTTTATCGGAATTGGACTTTAAAGCTACGAATATGAAACAAAAAGTATTGATATTAAAACCTAAATGGTAGCAAGCATCGTCTTTCTTTTTTCTAAGTGTAGTATGATGTAGGGTTCAAAAAATTTTTTTTTACTCAACTTACTAGTTTAACTTGTGGACAATAGGGCACTATATTGGATGTGCTTAATTTTCAGGAAGATGGTCTCTGATGCCTATCTGGCTGGCTTATGATGATAATCTAGATGTGCAGTGCATGGGCAAAGTATTTATAACTGATTTAATATACAAGATGAGCAGAAAATTACCACCTATATCCTTGCAATTGGTTATGCGTCCATACAGTTGATGACTAGGTTTGGCATCTACTTATCGTACACTATTATGTCGTGCAAGCGTTTTCCCATTAATCAATCTATAATCTATATTGTCATTTATCAATATCAATTGGTAATCAATTATAAAACTCAACCAAATACAAAAGTTGTCATATTTTACGCCTAAACATAAAGTTCTATTTCTACTAAAATGCTATATACCTATGTAATTCAAAATTTAACAAACAGTAAATACAATGATTTAAATCATAGACAAGCCTACAAATTAAAATCCTTATTAAAAGATAAAGTAAAATTTTAAAGCCTAGTTCTATTCAAACGCAGAATTAATAACGAACTAGGCATCAGATAGCTACAAATTCCTTACATGGAATTTGTTTGTAGATGCTAAGGTGGCTCTCTAGATTCGAACGTCTTTGGTTGGATTCAGTTCTGTGTCACATGGAAAATGCCTTAAGCTAGATGCTAAGATTGCAGATCAAATGTTTCTCTTTTCTTCTTTTGATCAAGGACCCTAGAGTTCAATCAACAAAAAGAATAAATTAATTCACATTGAAATAGGCGATAAAGGACGAATTTCGCTGTGGCATCATGTGAAATCCCTAATGACAACTGGTTAACAAGAAATTGCAAACAACGATGTGTCAAGAACCCTCAAAATTAGGAAAAACCTACCTGCAACCTCGTACCCTGCCATATTTACTTCTCCTTTTTGTCCTCCAGCCCAGTTCTCACAACTTTTCATCTCCAGAATACATCAAGCCTCTTTTCTTTCCTATCAGCATCCATATCAAATTAAAAATTCAAAATCCAAATACATGCCCATTCCAATCCATTCACACTCTCACCGCATCCAGTTCTCATCCCATCATGATGGAAACCCGCATTCAGCTGCGACGGAGTATGGCATGGCAGGGAGCGTATCTTTGAGGCCATGCCTGATAGATTGAGGAATGAAGAACAAAAAAGAAATAAACACAAATAGTGGCCGAAATTTTGGCAACTCCAAAATACCCTCAAACCTAACGAAAAGAAAAGGAAAAAAAGTAAGGGCAAAACTGGAAGATATTTGTGAACAGGAAAGGATGAAATTTAGTCCACTTTCTCCCAGTAATACCTTCAAATCCAACTAATAGTAGTATCTGATCTGGCTGAAATAAAAAGACATTAGGAGGGACAAAACTGGAACAAGAAAAAACACATCCAGCTTGTAAACAATGTGTTTTAATTGTCATAGGAGATATTGCTGGTAGAAGTTTTGGTGGTTAAATGTGTTTACTATTTATGAATCCTTGTTATAAATATGGGTCAGCATTCTTAGAATCTTGTTACCTTTATTTTTCAGGTTACAAATGCTGTAAAAGCACAGCCAAAGCTCCAAGACAACATAAGTGCAGTGACATCACATTTTCTGGGTATAGTTAAGACAATGCATCAACGCTGTAGTTCATCATTGGAGGTGCTATATTTTATTCATTTGTTTTTCATACTTAGTTGCTTCTACATATCTATTGCAATTAGGGGTGCTAAACCGTATCCGTATCTGAAGAAATATCCATAACCGTATCCATTAGGATAAGGATATGGTTACTCAGATCTATAACTGATAGGATATGATTACGAATATGGTTTTGTAGTGAAATATCTGTATCCATATCCGAAATATCCGAATACACATTAGTCATACTCTTACGATAGTTCGATTATTAAATTATGGATTTGTGGTTAATTTTGATAATCAATATGTCTAATCTTAGCTTTATAGCTATAATGAACATATTAAGGACCTCTTTTGTATCACATGAACTATGTTTTTCTTAATACTATATAGTTTTCTCATATCCGTTTTGTATCCGCATGCATATTCGCTTATATATCCGCATCTATATCCGTAACCATATCCAATTTTAGCGGATATGAATATGAATTTTTCTTACCGAGATATATCCGTATCCGTATCCGAGATGGATAAGCGGATATGAATATGGTAAGCATCATATCTGAGCTGTATCCGGACCGAATGCACCCCTAGTTGCAATGTCATTTACATATTTTTCTCTTGTCGGTCATTATCTTGTATATGTATTAATTTTGACCGTGTGTGTTCATGTACTGGATAATTGCTGCATATGGCTGAAGGAATTTAGCTTGCACAATTGTAATCACGCTTCATATATTGCTTAGTTATTGCAAACTGCTAACCTCATGAACCCCAATGCATGAGAAAATACAAGAATTTACGCATGGCTGATATGATACGCCCCCCCCCCCCCCCCCCCCCCCCCGTGTTGCATTTACATAAGCATGTTGGAATATACCTTGATTGAAGAGATATTAGTTGTAACTTTGTGGTTGTTGGGTAGGGTTTATTCAAAACGTGATCCATGTTCTCATATTAGTCCCTGCCAGGACAACTTATGATGAAGTTGGGAGGCATTGGTTTCATCTTCAATTAGTATTTAGTTACTTTCTACAAGTTAATTTGTATTGGTCTGTGGTTAACTTCTGGAAGCTAGTACTTTATAATTTTTTCCTGATTCAAGCTGGATACATAGCTTCGAAATGGACAAGTAATGCCACATGTGGAACATACAAGATTATGTTGAGTTCTATTTCTGGTTTGGATAACAAATTTAGCTGGTAGTTGAAAGTATATTACAAGCTAACTTATGGAGCATTGCAACTAAAGAGTTTTCAGCCAGCAGCTATGAGTGTAGTTACATATGTTTTTATGTGGCTTATTTAAAAGTGAAAAATCACAAGGGAAACATAAAAATATCTATATTTTTTTTTACTGAATGTATCACTTTTGATAAATATGAGAATAAGTTTTAGATAATGGTCAGTATGTGTGTTTTGCATATAGAGGATGAGCATACGGTTTGTGATACTCAGTAATTTCTTTGGTAAGAGTGTGTTCCTTTTTATCTTTTTATTTCAAGAAAAAACAGACCCAAGTTATTATTTGAGCAGATTACACAGTTATATATATCTACAGGTGTTACTGGCTTCTGGAGGCAATGGAGGTCATGTTTATGAGCAACTCTATAAAGATTTTTTGGAGGCAAGTAACCGCGTAGATTATCTTTGTTTCATGTTTGGTTTAGTTTGAACTGAGACTTTTATGCTGCCTTAGGTAATGGACTTTATAAACGATGCTGTTGTGACATTAGATGCATTTGTTGATGCTTTCAGACCTGCAGCTTTCTACTTCTCTATTTCGGTTGATATGAGGTAGATGAACTATTTTGTAGACATTATGATTTTGCCTTTTCCTTTATACTTCGACGGTGAACATTAATTGTAACGATTTTATTGTATATTTGTAAAATGTTTGACTTGCAGTTACGGGACTGAAGAATTATTGAGCACCCTTGCAAAATTGCATGATGCTTTGTTACCATCTTTACAACAAGGCTTGACTATTGTTTCTAAGAGCAGAAGTGATGCATCAAAAAGTGAACCTGGTGGTGACCTTCATAATGTCTTCCTTAGTTTAAAAATGTTATCAACGAGAGTTGTCAGCCTAGGATGGAAATTAGTGGACTGCTGCTACATATGCAATGAACCTATTGACGAAAGTCTCCTACAAACTACAACAAAAATGTTTCCCGCTAAAGTCGAAGATCCTTCTATACGTGGAGACATAATCATTCAAACACTCAAAGAGATTAATGGAGAAGCTCTTTATCATTTCCGGGAGAATACTGGCAGCGGAACCTTTCTTCAGAACATTGAAAAGAATCACAAGATATTGAGTCAAATTGGCAATCTTCGCAGTTCTGGTAATGCTTCTATCTTTACCTGTAGAATGATTTTCTCGCCAGAAGCCAGAACTTTATAAAAAAGGGATTTTATGAAACTTTTGTACGTTGATTTCCATCAAGGAACTCAGGGGGTTAGGAAATTCGACATGAATCAGAGTGTCTGTGCTCTATTCCAAGTACCACAAAGAGTTTGCCCCTCTAAATGTTGATATTCATTCTATGTCAACAGGGTCAATTTATAAGAAGGTTTTAAGAGCTTGTTTAGTTAGGCTACTTCTCTGATATGATGTTCCATTGTGAGTAGCAATTGGAGGGATAGTTACAGGGTCAAAGTTACAAATTGTGTAAACTGTTTTAAATCTTTCATATATCAGCCATGGACCCCCTTAAAACATCGTCTTTCCTAAAAAGAAAAGTTACTCTCTTCTGCCCTCTGTTGATTAGTCATGGCATGTATGAAATTTAACATTTTGTAGAAGATTTTTTGGATGCCGGGGTGAGGTGGGATGTATACCTCCTGAAGATGGAACGTGGGATGATAAAAGAGACTTAAGAGGATCATTTGCCATTACTATGTAGCGTGAACTTCAGTTTCACCTTATAGATGTTTCTTGTTCAATTAGTGCTGAAGCTATCAACTTAACTGTATGAAATGATATGCAACATTTATTTATTTTTCGGTTTTATAAATATCGGTCCCTTGAAATATTCCATAATTTTAAATTACTTCCCAAATAATTGAAATTTCTACATAGTCCAACAGTTCATATTAAGTTACTCCCAAATCGTCCTATGGTTATCTGCCGTGTGAATTGAGGGGAATGTTATATCAAAATTTATTTTTTGACTTACAGTTTTATCTTATTCTTTAGGTTAACATCCCAACCTAAACACGTTTAAAACCAGAATCCAAACCATCTTCTTTTCCCCCAACTCATATTTTTCACGAAACCCAGTTTTCGACAGATGGGTAATTTAGAGTTAAGAAATAGGACTTCAAAAAATAACAAACGGACTAATTTAAGCAACTTATATGAATTGGGGGTTTAAATAGAAATTTCAATCATTTGAGGGAGCAATTAAAAATATGATAAATTTAGGGGGACCAATATATAGGAGATATCAAGTATATCTGTAAGCAAATGGGGGAAAAGATCTCCGTGGAGAAAATCTGGCATCTCATTTTGTATGTGTTGGGCTAGGCAATCACTTATCGTAGATGTCCCTCAATTATATTTTCATGCTACAAAGGAATAGGAATATTTACTTGGATCATCCTTTTGAATTTCTAATCAACAGGATGGGTTTTCATGGATGAGGATCAGTTTCAATACTTGGCGCAAATTGCAACACCACCGTCTTTGAAGAGGTGGGAACAGGTGCCCAGGGCACCAATCTCATCACAAATTGACAAGGTACAAATGGATGAGGATGCTATAATTTTGGAGTCCAAGATTAGCCAGATAAAAGACCTGTTCCCTGAATATGGGAAAGGTTTTCTTTCAGCCTGTCTTGATGTCTATAACCATAATCCTGAAGAAGTGATTCAAAGGATTTTAGAGGGAACTCTCCATGAAGATCTTTTATCTCTAGATACTTTGCTGGAGCAGATTACGCCACCAAAGTCATCATCTCATAATAGGAATGACAAGGGGAAGGCGGTGTTAGCAATGGAACCTGCATCTAAAAGTACTACTGCATTGCCAGGCAAAAATGATCTTGTGGTTAGTGGGAAGGACACAAAGGGCCCTCAATCTTTGTCATCTAAATTTGGCCGATTCCAAAGGAAAACCAATGAAGACTCGTCAAACTCAGAAGTACTCGACTCAAAATCTGCCAAAGATGCAGTTCGCACAGCTGTTCTAGCTGCAGAACTAGAGTATGAAGATGAGTATGATGATTCATTTGACGATTTGGGTCTAAGCGTCGTTGAATCAGGTTATGAGGAAACTGAGAACTTGAGCGATAGCATCACAAGACCTGGGAAGTCATGGGGTTCAGAGAATGAGATCTCCTATCAGAGTTCTAAACCCAGATGGAGTTCGCAGAAGAAACCTCAGTTCTATGTCAAAGATGGTAAAAACTACAGCTACAAGGTGTCTGGTTCTGTTGGGGTGTCTAGTGCACAAGAAGCAGCTGTAGTTAATCAAGCACAGAAAGAAACTATACATGGTCTTGGTCGTGGGGGCAATATACCGCTTGGGGCTGTAAATAAAATGATGGATAATCAAGAGGAACCAGATGATGAGTCTTCTAATGCTGCTGAAAATATTGGTAGAGGGAACTCCAATCATCGAGGTAGAGGCGGAGGAAGAAGAGGTGGTGGTGGTGGACGAAATAATTATAGGAAGGATAGAGCTATGAAGAAACACTTCTCAGGATTGGGTGGTTACTGAATGAATATACAAAACCGTGTTTTACAAAAAATGTAAATGACTATATGAGAGCTGGCTGTGTCTCAGGATGGGTGTTTAGTCACTATACTTGGTGAAGTATTTTTGTGTGTACATGGATCATGTATGCGAGTGTCACTTTTACATGAGAAATTCTTGAGAAATTTTTATTTTTTTGTTTTTTGTTTTCATAAACTTGATATGTTTCCTATCACCCAGTTATCAGGCGAGTCAAATATGCCAGCTTTGTTATCTGCAGGACTTTTTGGGGACAGCATGTACGGCTTATAGGAGACCTTAGTTTATTCATGATCTCATTTATTATTCAATAGGATATCTCATGCTTGCAAATAGTTCGGTGTTTTAGAATGAGTTTATTGGATATTGTTCACCTGCAACTTTGATTTATATCATTGTCAAAACATGTTTATCGTTTAGATAGGGAAACCAATTTCACTCAAATTTAGAGTAGTGAATTTCATACTCCAATATTGGCAGGTTTTGAGGAGAAATTATCCCATCGTCTACATCCCAGGGTAGTTGGTGCATGCAAGTTTTTATTTTTATTTTTATTTTTTTAACCATTAATTAATGGACAAGTGCAAAACAGTTGAAGGATTGACCCATCACAAAAGCTGACATAGATTTGCTCTCAAAGGGAAGAGATTCATCAACTTTGGCAATCAATTTGGATTTTGCACATTCATTGTCATAATATAACACCACCAAACCTGCTTAATTGCAGAATAAATGCTCAAAGTGGTGCTCATCTCCTCAACAGCTACAAATAAGGGCTCAACAAAGCACAAGCTCCAATCTGCAACCTTTCCAGCTCTACCCCATCCACATTGTCTATAGGTTTGAAGATGATGAGGAAAAATGGTGGGCCTGGCAATATGCATTTTTTCAAGCCTATGTTGCCTGGTTTCTCCAAAAAACTGGTCTTCCATATAACGCCCCCACCCTCTCGTGGTCCTTTCATTTGTTGTTGTTGATATATTGACACTGTTACCTGTTTTAATGCAGGCTATTCCTACTGCTTTTGTCAGGGAAATTGTAAAAGAGAGATGCAACGTGAGAACATCTACCCTAGTCAATCCTAATGGCAAGTCATGGCGCGTTGATGTGTACGAGGATCACAAGAAAGATTACATGTATTTCAGTGGAAATGGCTGGCTAAGATTCGTGCGTGCACATAAGCTAGGGGTAGGATACTTCGTAGTGTTCTGTTACAAAGGAAACATGGTGTTTAAGTTCAGAGTATATGATTTAAGTGCATGTGAAATAACCTCCTATGCTTCTAGTGATGCCCCTAGAGAGAACTTTTACAATAATAAGAAGAAAACAAATAATGAGAATGAGAAGAAGAAGATGAAGGAGAAGATAACAGTGATCAATGTTGAAGAAGATGAGGAAAACTTTGGTATGTAAGTGCAATTTATTTTTGCTTATCCATTACCAATAGTTGATTCTATGATTTACTAACCGAAAAAGAAGCAAACCTATGTTTGTTTTCATGTTCTCAAAGAGGATGATGATGGGGACGAAGTGACAGAAAGTATTGAGAAGAGGAAGAAGCAGCAGCTGAAGAAAATATCAGAAGTCAAATTCGAGAAAGAAAATGGTCTGTACATGCATTTTTTTTCTTTTGTCCCCTTGCTTAATGTACTTTCTTCTTTTTCTGTTGATTTAATGGTAGTTCAATTACGTGGGCAATCAACTCAAATGAACATGCATGTATGCCTGCCTCCGCGAAAACCTTGTTTATGTATGAACTAACCTCTAGTAGAAGAGGAAAACACAAGAAGAAAAAAAGAATTAGAGGACAAAAAAGAATCTGGTATATAGAATTCTTTTTCCTATTGATCGATTATTTTGCTTAATCTTGTGAGCTATTAACCAATTAAACAGGAAGAGTTTGGTAAATAAAAGCAAACTTCACTTCTTGGTTTGTGCTTTATCTCTTGTGTGTGCATGTAGATATACATTGCCAAAATCGCTCGTACATATATGAATCCTCTATTTTACTAACTGAAAGAAGATAATCCCTTATTCTTCTCTAAATATTTTCAAAGAGGATTATGAGATTGAGAAGGACCTGAAAGGAACCATCGATGAGAAGAAGATGACGAAGAAAAAGAAGAAAATATCAGAAGTCAAAATTGAGGGAGAGCATGGTATGTGTAAGCATTCTTTCATTTACTTCCCTAGCATCTCATTTTTTTGCTTACTCTTTATTTGATTTAATTATTTATAGTTCATTTGCATTTCATATAAACTTGTTTCCAGATGAACTCCGACTTAAAAGGAGGAGAAAGTCATCAAGAGACAAAATAGAAGAATCTGGTATGTAAAAAATTAGTTTTCCTTTTTAGTAAAAGGTTTATTAATTATTTAGCCTAATGCCGTCAGTTACTAACTAACGTATACATGCATGAAATTTCCAGATAACAAATCTACTTATAAGGTACGTATGAACCCAAGGTATCATGAGAGGATACAGAGAAACAATGGGAGTACTACAGGAACAAAACCGAAGTTTGAGGCTACCGTATGGCCTTGCAATTTATCTTCACCTTACATGGTAACTCGTATATAATTAAGTACATGCAAAGTTCATGCCGGTCAAAGTTTCCCCTCATGAGTAATTTTTTGAGTAATTTGAATGAATGCAGAATATTCCAGTGGAATTTAGCGATACCAATGGCCTGACAGAGCACAATGAGCTAACTCTGATGGACCCAAAGGGACGACTCTGGCAGGTTCGAGTTATGCACAGGAGAACTCGATTTGGAGGCAGTAGAAACACTAGTAGTATGCATACTGGTTGGGTTAAATTTGCTGCTGCTAACAAGTTGGAAGTAGGAGACAAATGCATCTTCAAGCTTGGATCGGAAAATAAAAATGGAAGATTGTTGATGAAAGTTTCAATAAGGAAGAAAGCAGTTTGCTGACTTAGTGGGACTTTCTTTTTTTTCATTTTTTTTCTTTTATGTTCTGATGTTGGTTAGTTCTTGCCCGTACTTGTAGTGCTCCTTGGCCACTGCTCTTCTGTTGTTCATATTTTAAAAAGGAGGGAAAATTTTCTAGTTCTATTTTACCTCATGGTTTTTTGCTTCCACCAAAAGTTTAATTCATATAAATATAGATATATCTGAAGTGGATGGGAAATTATTTGAGTTATTATTGAGACGGTTTTTTTTAAAAAAAAAGACCTTTTTTGCTAAATGATTAGCAAAATCGACTATTTTGCTAATTATTTAGCAAAATCGATCTCTTTTTTGCCAACGGCCAAAAAGAAGTCGATTTTAAAAAATAATATGCTCAAAATATACGGGACTAGTAGTCCCGTATGTTCTAAAACCACAACCAAAACATACGGGACTACTAGTCACGTATGTTTCGGGCAGATTGTTTTTTAAAATCCGTGGGTTCAGAACGACATCACCGCTGATATAAGGGCTTCCACCGTCGACTGGGTCGCTCATCTCTTGGAGGAGCTCCGCGTCGACTCATCAGAGGCGTTGTATCTCGCCGTCAATTACATGGATCGCTGCCTCTCGCGCAGGGACCTCAACTGCCACTCGCTCCAGCTCCTGCCTCCGTCTACTTGCTCATTGCATCCAAGCACGAAGAGAGGCACACTCCTCGGGTTCAGAAGCTCCTCCTTCTGATGGAGGAGAATTACACCAAGGAGGAGGCTCTTCAGATGGAATCCCAGGTCCTGAGCCTCCTCAATTTCGAACTGACTGCTCCCATGCCCAAGTGCTTCTTAAGCAGCCTCGTCAACGTCGTTCATGAGCCGCCTCAGCTCGAGTTCCTCGCTGATTTCATCACAGAGCTCTTTCTTCTTGAGTACCACATGCTCCAGTACCCTCCGTCCATGATCGCTGCCTCTTCCCTTTTCCTTGCAAGGTTCGTGTTGTGGCCAAAGGAGCATCCTTGGACCAGGAGACTAACAGACTACTCTTTTTATCAGCCCTACGAGCTCTCGAACTGCGTGAAGGATCTCTTTTGGGCCTTCGTTTTCAGTTCAGGCACCCGATGTTTTGGTTGTGATTTGTAAAGCAGAAACATATGGGACTAGTAGTCCCGTATGTTTTGATTGTGGTTTTAGAACATATGAGACTACTAGTCCCGTATGTTTTGATCAATCTGTTTTTTAAAATCGACATCTTTTTGGTCTGTTGGTAAAAAAGATATCGATTTTGCTAAATAATTAACAAAATGGTCGATTTTGCTAAATAATTAGCATATTTAGCAAAAAAGGTGTTTTTTTAAAAAAATCCTATTGAGACTGTCTCCATTTCTAAATCTTTTTTGGAGTGAATTAGTTTGCATTGGTTATGAACCAAAAGCCATCGATCAGTATGATTTGTGAGTGACAAATGGACGTCCCATCACAAAAGTCAGAGATATTTGGTGTTGAGGGAATAGATTTATCAACTTCCCCAGGCATCATCGGCTGTGCGCAGTCATTTCCGAAATAAAACACCACCAAAGATATTTAATTCAGAATAAATGCTCATAACTGGTGCACAATTCCTCAATAGCTACAAAAAGGCTCAAACAGCACAGGCACCTCAAATTAGTCCATCCAGATTGTTTTTAGGTTTGAAGATGGTATTTTATCAGATCGCCCCATACAGTGCAGGGCGTTCTGGACTGAAGGACTGCGGAGAAGGGGACAGTGATGATATTTCACTATCAGAACACTCCACGTGGTGGCATCAATGACAACTTGTTTGTAGATGAACTCACTACCAAATAATGGGTCTACGGGGACGGTTTATAACCGTCCCGCTAGACAATAAAACCGTCCTCATAGGCCTAAGAGAACGGTTAGTCATCCGACACCTTTGCCGCTGTAGTGCTTGGTCTAAGGGGATGGTTCATGATCCAAGTAGCGCGGTTCTTGAACTGTTCCCGTTTATAACATTTGGGGACGGTTTACCTATGGGGACAGTTCATATTTTTTCAGATGGTAAACGGTTATTTAGTAATGGGAACGATTTTAATTTTAAGCTACCGTGACGCTTACACACTTGGTGATGCTTGCAGCAAAGAAAAAGCTCCTTTTTTCAGTAGGTGTGACGAACTCCTAGGTAAACATAGATATAGATTTGAGAAACTTAAAATGAAAAATTGTAATAGGAGATACAACCAAAAGGCACGTTTCAAATGCTATTTTTTTCATGCAATAAGCAAAACAATTCCAAAAGTCTAGCGCTGTCTTATAATATTATTTGATCATGGAAAAAACACGTGACTCAGTTAATAATACTATATTAAACGAAACTAATTGATATACCAATTTTTTGCGAACAGAAAGAAAGGATGCAGTTAATAAATAATATTAAACGAAACCAATTGATATACCAATTTTTTGCGAATCCTGGCAAAACTTATTGACCCCGTAGCGTGTGTATATTCTTGATCATCATGATTTTCTTTTTTGGTCTCACTTGTTGTCTACACAATTATAATTTAGGAACAAAATTTACTGTAATTCTTGAAAACAATCAAAGGCACTATCCACAGACACATTTAATTTAGCAAACATAATAGTTTATAGCAGAGTACTAATTAGATATCAAATTACCTACTGGAAAGTTAGACCCATATTGGTTAGCGCAGTCATTTAGAAAAACTTGTTTGTCTAGACAATTGCTGCATCATTAGTCAATTTGCTTCCAAATTTCATGTGAAATTCATTTTGCAGTTAGAAAAACTTAAAAAAAACATTTATAAAATGAATAGTTGAGAGTAGTGGTGGGATTTTTGTGAAGAACCATCTATGTACAAGACAATATTCAAAAAGTGACTTACAATAATAGGTAATTATGGAAATTCCACAGTAGAGAGATTAAGAGAAAAACATGAGTAAATAATAGGTTGCATAGCCAAGATACAGATGTTTCCTTCCGATGATGCAGGAAATGTTTCCTTCAGAATCAGTACATGTATGGTAAAAACTATCATGAGTTCAACCGAGAAAAATTAAAGTAGCAGATAAAATAAAAGCCGACATCATCAAAGGGGAATAATGGTACATTCTGCACTTGCCAAGTTATAAGACAAGCAAATCTTTAACTGAGAATGGTGAAAAGAAAGAGAAATTAAATATTGAAAAGAGTTAACCACAATTGCATTATATCTACCTCTGAGGCACTATATGATGCCCACTTCCAAAGTCTCCATTGGTGTCCAATTCCGCTTTCCAGTTCAATAGCTTGCAAAATTCTTGTCTTCCCATTTTTGCGCATAGCTTCCACTGAGGGAAATTGGTCCAACCCCCCAAAAGGACATAGAGTTGCTGCTCTCCATGGCTGAAAGTAACAGAGGCTAAATAAAGTACAAAAATATGACGTACAAAGCATTAAAAGAACGGGGAGCGAGGGAGGGAGTTAATGCATTGTTGATCTACCTGCCCAGCAGAACGACAAAGTTCACATGCCTCCTCCAATCTTCCAGGTCTTAGAAGAATCCAGACATCTTACATAAGTAATTCATCTTGTTTCTGTAATTTGTTTAAAGAATCACGCATGTACGAAAGTTACATAAAGCCAATGATTCAAAGTCATGAAGAAGAAATTGTGAATATAGATCATAAGCTTAAGTATTATGTCAGGTATGAGAATTTCACTCTAATATATGGTTGAAGGATTAAGTTTTGGAGCTATTACTCCAGTTTCTTTGTTGTGTAAAACTAATGGGATACGATCATACTAGTCTGATGAGTTCTATGAAGCATCATTAACTGAAGTCCTGAAGTCCATCACAAATCCTCATCATATACAACACCAAATACCAGTATTTGTCTAATATTTTTAGATGCTCATTAGATACCTCACAACATCTTTCTTATGCACATTTTGCCACCCTTTTTATTTTATACAGGTCAAGGAGCAATTGTTTTAGAAAGCACAACATATAAGTTAGCAATCCAGTAGAACATTTACGGTGACAATCCAGCAAGAACATGCACAACAAACAGAAAAGAGCGCGTATATAAATACTCGATTTACCAGTGTCATTGATTTTCCTGATGGTCATGTGATGCGGCATAAACATGTACCAAAAAGGTTGCAAGTGCACAACCGTGTCAAGTTATAGTATTTAAGATATCAATCCCACGAGGAAAGTGTTTTGTAGGAGAAAATATAAAATTGGTTCTTATGTTGTGTGCGTGACAAATAGGAGTGATAAGTGAATGTGATTGTGAAGAGATTGAGATAGTGAAAATGGTGTGTAAATAGGTACAAGTGTAAGTGAGAGTGGATTTGAAAAAGAATGAGTATGATCAATAAGGTGAGAAGGAAAAAATGAATAAAATCAAGAAAAAAATAAAAAATCAAGAATGAAGAACAAAATTCTAAAATAAAAGAAAATGCAAGAAATTAAAGATGGTGGATTCAATTATAGATATGGGTAATCTACAATTGAACACACTTCTTAGAAAATGGTGATTCCCTAGAGGGTTCTAGCCTAAAGGCGAATCAAACAAAATAAAAATAAACAAAAAGAAAAACTAAACCCAAGAGGGTTCTAGCCTCAAGGTGAATAGTATAAGAAATTAAAATCTAACTATAAAATAAATTGCAAAATCTAAACTACAAAATAAAATTGTAAGAATTAAATGCAAGAAAATAAATCTATTCTATAAGCATGAAATAAATCTAAGGCAAGAGGGTTCTAGCCTCTTGGCTATTTAACAAGAAAATAAAATCTAAACTACAAGCATAGAAATAAATCTACATTAATAAGCAATAAAAGAGAAAAAGAAAAGAAATGCAAACCTTCAAATAATTCTCCATCTTCATCTTCATCTTCATCATCCAATAAAGAGAAGAAGAGAAAAATTTAAAGTGGTGAAAAAATTATTATTATTAATTGCAACTAAAGTTACAATTTTGGAAGGCCTTCTCAATTAAGAGTAGCCCTCCTCTCCAAAAGGAGTTACAAAAATTTTCACACCCTTAACCCCTCACTCTCTACCCCTATTTATAGTAATCTTCAATGAATATGAGCCATTAGATTTGTCTTGAGCCCCAAGCAACAATCTCCACC